TAAAACCAGGGAAATATCTCTAACTCTGATATATATATATATATATATATATATATATATATATATATATATATATATATATATGTCTGGTGGATGTTGATGAGCCAGTAAAGAAAAGACAATCTGCCATCTTTAAAAATGAATTTCGAGTTGTTTTGATGAAGTCTTAAATTGACTGTATAATATTTTTTTGTATCTGAGCTGCTGATTTGTAATTTTGGCTCAGTTTTTGTCCCTTTTAAATAAAACCATAAAAAATTACTTCAGTTCCCAGTAAAAAAAAAAAAAAGAATTAAGTTTCTACAGAAAAAAATGTCCAGGTTTTGCATAGAATAGGCTCTTAGTTCTGGCATCAGAGTGGCATGGAGGAGAACCGCCTGTGGTTCTGTGAGATGTTCTGGAAGCCCAGGTTCCTTAATGACCGGACTTCAGCTTTTCATTATTTAGGTTCTGGATCCTTTAGTTTTTGTTTTTACAACAGCCCTTAGATTCTCTGAGGGGTTTTGATCAGACCAGTCTGCTGGTGTTTCCCCTGTGATAAAAATAGATCCTGGTACCTTTTAATAGTTCGGGTCAGTACCAAGTCCTGCAGGAAAATAAAATCAGTATCTTAAGAAAGCTTATCAACAGAGGGAAGCAGGAAGGGTTGTAATCATCCTGGTAGACGGCTGCTCTGACTTTGGACCAGAACCAGCAGATGGCTGGTTCTGGCCACTGACTGTGGAAACTCCCACTGGACCTCAGTGAGTTCCGGGATTCTTCCTCTTGACTCTGGGATTTGGATTTACAAATGAAATTAAAACTTTACTTTAATCTGAAAATCAAACTTTGTAACACTGAGAAACAGTCATCCAAACATCAGAACTGTCCTGACCGAGCTAAGAGGAGACCTTTAATGTCTAACTGTCCTTATGGGGGATAACAGAGATCACTCAACGTTCTGCTTCATTATTGTAGAGACCAGAACATAGACATATCAGAACATTTCCAGGATAAAATCGTTTTAATTGTTCTGACTTATTATTACAATTTACTGAGAATCCACATTTTTGAGTTTTTCGTTCACTGCAATGCAGAATAATTAAAAATAACACAAAGAACGACTTGAATATACAGATCTAGTTAAGTTGAGTTTAACAATTTAATAAAACTGTTCAAATAAATCCACTAAAATAGACGTTAAGATGCACCTTTTTAAAATATTTGATCAAATTAAGATTATATTAGAAAAACTTCTAAGTTGCAGGTGAAGCATTCATGGGCTGAACACGCTTAGAAGCAGAAGCAGGACAGCAGACAGATTTAGCAGGACCTACATCCAGCTAATACAAGACGATCCACCAGTGAACTAGGACATGTGCATCAGGTCCCTGACTGATGCAAACTAGCTTACTCATATGCCAAGTCATCCAGTCTCTCTTATCTGGCTCATGTATTTATGCTCTAATACTAGGAGTCTGCAGCCAATTAACACAGCTCTTCTTAGCTATTGGGCAAGAAGAGTTTAATTGAAGATAAATGCACACAGAATTTAAAAAGTTCTGTGTTTATTCAGAGAACTTCCGTGCATCTATGTGTGGTTTTTTTTAGACTTCTCGGACTTGGGTTGGTCTCAAAATCCTGTTTGTGCTTTTATTTTTATTTAGCTTTATATACAACCAACAAAAAAAACCCTGCTGAACAGATGATTAATCTTTTTTAGAAATAGATCCATTAGAACCCTCCGTGCTGCGGAGAAATAATCATTTTTTCCCATGGTTCTGACTGCCGGCCGAGAACCAGCCATTAAACAGAGACTTCTGAACTCAGTTAGGATTCCCACTAAGACATTAACAGTTCTTGGCTGTGTAGAGGTAGATGATTTTCTACCTTCTTCTAATAGAAATATTTATAGATTTTATAGAGAGACTGACCTTTAGCAAAACTAAACTTTTCCTGTTTCTTGTCAGTAAGAGTTTTTAATGAAACTAATTTTCCGCATTTGATTCATATCAGAGTAATGTGACAAACATTTTTAAAGACTGTTTTTTTACTTTCTTTCAAACCAGAAATTTGCATAGAGTCTAACTGTCATTGCTTTGTTAGCTTCTGATTTACAACATCAGGGAGGAGACGGGTTCTGTATCCCCGAAATAAGCTGGTTCTGGTGTAGATAAACCCTTGGAGCTTAATTTCTTATATGGAGGACTGATAGAGTCTTCTTTTAGTGACTTTAATCCTCCATACTCTTGTAAAGTTTTTTTGTTTTAGTTAATTTTTTACTATGTTTTGTTCTTCAATTTTTTTTATAGTCTATAGCTGCTATAGACTGATAAACTCAGCTAAATTGAGAAATAAATTATATTGTCTGCTCAAATTTGTTTTTAGATGCTCTGATGTAGAGTATACCAATACAGTATATCAACTGAACAGCTTTTCTGTTTTGGTCTTGTATCAGTAGCAGCTGATCCACAGACAGGTCTGAGAAGATCTTCCACTCTCATTTCCTCCATTTGCTATTCATTGTTCATGTTTTGTCAATTAATTATTTTTTGTTTGTTTGTTTGTTTTAATTGAGACTTATGTAACAGTTTTATCTGTATCATTTTTATCATCGTGAATATAAGAAGAAAAAGCTACTTTGGCATAAAAAATCAGCCCCAAAATATCAACAGCACATATCTGGGATTGGTTAGCGATATCGGTCGATCTAGACTCTGACGCACATATTTGTGTTCTTATTCTAATTGTCTTGTACAAAATGGATTATCTTGTTTGATAAATAGAGTTGTGATTGAACTAAGTGGTGCAGTAGCACACAACTGCACAAACAAGCCTTTCATTTTGGGTCATGAAATACCTTCCTGCAGTTTAACTGGTAGAGTCAACTTGCACTAACACGGGTTCACCTGAGTCATCTTCAATGAAGAAGGCCGGATTAGAGAGCCCAGACAGCTGCCGGGGCAGCGGGTAGAGCTGCTTCGATGGCGGGCTGGCAATGGGAGGCAGGCGTGGATAGGAGGGCACATTGGGTAGCTCGAGGGTGCTACCGCTAGGTGAGGAAGGAGAAGGGGAGCGAGACCTTAGGGGAGGATGATAAGGGGGAGGGAGAGGCGAGTGGTGCATGAGGTGGTTGAGTTCTAAGTCCGGCTGCATGTTGTTTTGCGTTTGTTTCTGCTGTTGTTGTTTCTTAGGCATCTTGTGGCATAAGGCTGTTGAGGCGGTTACGGATGTTTAGGAAGCACTCCTGAGTTCGTCTAGGAAACTGAGACAGCTTTTGTGGGACAGAGGAAAGGCTCTGGCTGAGGCCGGACAGACTGGGGCCAGCTGACCCTTCTGCTTCTTTGGGCAGAAGCGCAGTAAGGGTCTGGACGATGCTCCGTGGGACCTGCGTGAGTCTGATCTGGGAGAACTCCTGGCGTAGCTCAGGGGGCAGGGAGGGAAGATGCTTGGTAACGTCAGAGAGCTGGGTGGGGAGCCGAGGCATGGAGGGGATTTTAGGCGGAGAGATGCCGTTCTCTTTGAAGAATGCGTTGATGTTGCCAAAGCACTCAGAGGTGGGAGGAAAGCGCATCAGGCAGTTCTTAAACGAATCGCAGCTGACTGGAGCTATAAAGGAGACAGCAGGTGAAGTCATGAAGAATGAAAGCAAGGCAGAACGTGGGCATTACTCACAAATAAACTGTGGCAGCACATCAAGAAGAAAGTTAAAGTAAGGATAGCTTCTAGAGTAAGATAACTGTCAATGAAAACATATGCGCATGTGTCTAAAATTGTAAAATGTTATTAAACTTGATTAAATCTAAAATATGTATTTTGGATTTCAATTGTGAGAATACAAGTTTAGAAGTTATGAATCCAATCTATACATTTGTAGCTTGGCAACAATACAATTACAAATCACGAATAACCCATTTATGAGTACAAATCACAAATAGTGTTGCACCGATACCAATACCTGTATCGGGCAGGGCCCCGATCCAGCACTAAAATAGTGGTATTGGTATCGGCGAGTACCAACAAATAGGGCACCGATACAATTTTGTGAGCCAAACGTTTATTCAACTATTGTCACCCATTCCAGGTAGGCAATAAAAAGTTCTTCTAGATTCACTTTGTATTAATCTTTTTCCTGCTTCACAAAGGTAGACAGCAGCTTGACAAAATTATGATGGCAATTATCTTACATCTAAGTAGTATGCAGTCGGCCGCACATCTACAGTTCTTCATATATATATATATACACACACACACATCAATTTCAAACAGATGGTATCGGTATCGGCCAATACTGCACAGCCACGTATCGGGTATCGATATCGGGGCCAAAAAATGGCATCGGTGCAACACTAATTACAAATTAACAAGTTTGAATCACAAATGTGCAAATCACACACTTTCAAGTACATATCAAATATTAATAGTGAAAATTACAACTTTAAAAGTACAAGTGACACATCTATGAGTGCAATTCACACATTCATAGGTAGGAATCACCAATTCACATGGAAAATGTGTGAATTCTACTATCTATGCTTGTAACCAAACCCTAATCTATGCTTTTGCAAAGTTGAAACTTCTATACTAACATTCTCACAAATAAAACATCTGTACATATGGGCTGACAACAAGTAAGAATTTCAAATCTTAAATATATTCACGTTATTGACTTTACAAAATCAGACACTCACTGATCTGACAGTTATCTTACTCCATAAATGACTATCCTGCTTACAGGAAGCAGGAGAGTGGTTCTGATCCTACTCAAAGAAATGTGGTTACCTGAAACTTAATCTAAAAAAAAGTCAACAGGTGAGATTAAGATATGCATCCATTAATCAAACTGTTGCTGCAGGAGAACGATTTTCATACCTCCACAGCCGTCACCTGAAGCATCTTCCTCCTGTCAATTAAAAAAAAAAAAAAAATAGAAATGAATGGGTCTACTTTGAGTAAAGAAATGATATAATCTCTTATGTTTTAGATTTTTAGACATGAAAAGAAAAGACAAGGTGGGTGTAAAGGGACATGATGGATAGAACAGAGGTAGTAATTTATCTTTAATTAAACTTATAATCATTCTGATCTAAGAGTGAAAACGACCAATATCTGTTAAAAGCAAACATACTTTCTCAGTAGCCTTGTCTGTGATTGAAGCTGGAGCGTCCTCTGCTTTCTGGGGCTGCGTGGTCACAGCCTCCTGGCTCTGGGTACCTGGTTCTGGTGAAGATTCTGTCTCTGGCTTAAGATTGCTTTCTGGTTCAGTATCTGGTGGTGGAGAGGTGGCTGTCTCCTGCTTCGGTTCAGGTATTTCTGTGCAGATGTAGATTGTCAGCAGCAGAAAGTGCAGCTAAGGATGTTTATGCTCAGCTTTCAGAAGTTTGTCTGTACCGGTTTCCTTGATGGTGGATTCCTCAGCATCTACTTTCTGCTCATCTGAGACTAAAGTGTCTTCCTTTCTGCAGGACAGAAAGAAGATTCAGTTAGAGACAGAATGGATGGATGGATGGATGGATGGATGGATGGACGGACGGACGGACGGACGGACAGGTGGACGGATGGATGGATGGATGGATGGATATTGTTTGTGGTGTTTATATGTAAACATCTTCCCGCGGATGTAAATATAAAGCCTTTTCTAAACTGAATAAAACATTTTAGTTAACTAAACCTGAAAATACATTACGTCCTTCTGTAGACTTTCTGAACCAGAAAAAAAACTAAACTATTAATCAGTTATTATCTGAATATGGAGGCTTAATTTTTTAGTTTTTAAGCAGTGATGTAAATCAGCGCAGCGTTACTCACTTTCTCCGTTGCCATAGTTTCTCCTTATAGCTTCGTTAGTTATTCCGGCTGATTAAATGTCCTCCAGCAACAGAACCGCAGACTGGACCTTAAACAGGTCAGCTAATTCCATTCAGGTGAGAAAAACATCCCCAGCTTGCTTCTGTTCATCAGGAAGCGGCTGCTGTTACCGGGGCAGCCGAAGGGAGGACGGGAGAGGGGGCGGGGGGCAGGTCGGCGGTTGCTAGGGGAAGCTGTGGTTGCTATGGCGCAGTGTTGCGACGCTGCTGAGACAAGCCTCGCGGGATTTAAGAATCTGCTGCGTAACCTGCTAGCAGGCTGCTTTCATGGTTCAGACCTAATATCAATTTATTTTTATTTTACTCATATATGTTGTAGAGTTATATTTTCTATAAGATTATTCCAGGCTGTAAGTGCTGTGCGTTTGTTAGTTTTTGTTTGGTGAAAATGGACGCAAAGCAGCAGCCTTTTAGATAATCAGATCATAAAAGATTTTAAAAAACTATTGAACACTAATACCTGACTTTTAATCTATTGACCCTAAAAGATTATGGATACAATACAGTGATAAAAAAAACAAATAGTCATCAACAAATGTGTAAAGTTGATATTTAAATAGACTATTTATTTTTTGTATGTTATTAAATCGGACAAAACTTTTTCCTGTTATTAGTCAGTTAGAATTACCAAAATAATTTGATAATATTTGCCAGACTAGGGATTGGTTAGAAGTTTCCATCTCATTTTTTGGTAGAATTACCCTTTAAATTGCCTGATTTTGATCGAACATTTTGAGTTTCCTTCCACAAATTTATCTCCAAGGTTTGCAGGAATGTTGGTTTATTTTCCCTGACTGAGTTGTTCAAACTGGATCAGGTTTGAGGCATTTTGCAACCAGTCTGGAGGTTTTCTGATGGACATTGTCTATTTAGAAGACCTGTTTGTGTACAACCTTTATTCTCCAATCATGTCATAATGCTGCCACCACCATACCTCAAAGTATGCATGGTGTTCTCAAGGTAGAAAGTGCCTCTTTTAATTAATCTGTATTTTTCTGTTGCCTTCAGAGCAACAGTTTCCTGCTATGTAAGTGGCCTTTCAGCCCATTTTGACTCGTTTTAATCTAAATCACAAATTCCTCGTAACTTCAGCAGCATCTCCATTAGGTCTTTATAGCTTTTGTTCTGGGGTTGATTCAAACAGTTTACACCAGATTTGTTGCTTTAAACATATCCAGATGAGGGCCTTAATTGCTTCCAGATCACCAGATATTTTGAATGAACCGATCAGGAGCTTACAAAGCTATGACATCATGATATCATGTCAATTATCTCATTTTTTTTAGCCTTTAACAAAACTTGTCATTGATCCTTCAAGGCAATAAACATGTCTGCTGTCTGGGTTATAAACAAACACTCTGCTTACTTATTAGAGGTAAAATTAATACGATTGTGTGAAACAGACAGTTAGTAAAAGGAAAAAGGTCTTCTAGAAATGTAAATGTGAAATAATTAACTCAGTTTAAAAATGATTATTGAATTTGTTCTGCACAGAGAGAGCAGGAGAAATATGTCACACTCCTGCATTGGGACCTACTCTGTGTCTTCTTCTCGATCCACCTTGCTTTCTTCTTCTCGTGTTTCTAGCAGCCTGGAAGCAGAAAGAGAATCTGTGTCTTTCATTCCTAAAGACAAAAAGTTTTTGTATATGCCAAAATTCATACATTTCTCTAATGCAAAGATTGTCTTACTCAGCTTCAGGTTCTTCCAGCGGCTCCTGGCTCCCCAGTGAGAGTTTAAAGGATGTTCCCTCACTGGCCAACTGTCTAACAGCCATCTCTGCTGTCTGCCGGGCCACCTCCTCAGCCAGACGGGTCATTTCTATGCGCTCCTGAAGCAGGCTGTAGGGGGTGTTACGCATCATGTTATATGGATATTAAGCAGGAGTAGACCTTCCTCCCATTCAGGCCTATGCATCTTCCTTACCGTTCCTCCATAGTGGCCAAAGCAACATCTTCAGCCTCTTTCTTGATGCTTTCAATAAATGGAGTCCAGCGGCCGGTCTGAGTCTCAGCATCTTCTTGTGATGTTTTAGTCAGGCAATCTAATGCCGGCTCATCCGGGTTGGCCTCACAGTTTCCGGGACACTGGACGGGGCTGGACGGTGTCTCCTCCTGCTGCTGCTGGATTCTTGTTGGACTCAGAGTTTCTGCAACTTTGGTGTCATTTTCACATGATTGCTGGCCCTCATGATCTGATTCCACATCCTCCAGAACCATGTCGGGCTGAAGTTCGGATGAAGCTACAGAGGAAGAAGTCAGTATATACAGAGAAAATGGAAAAGTGTTTTACTTTTTTAATGCATTGATTAAACCCAACAGAGAGCCAGCTGGTTATGGGATGGAGGTCTGTTTATTCTTAAGTAATATTTATAAGGCTTACACGTGTGTTCTGCTATGTCTAAAGATGTGTAGGCCTACATTCAAATGTGTCACACAGAGTACACTAGAAATAACGTGT